CATCTTGCTCCCAACAGTTCTCCTTCAGTTTGGCTATAATAAAATCTTATAAAACATTGTCTACATGTTGGACATTTCTTACCTCAATATCTTGTCTTTTCTGCATTTACCACATACGTTCATACACGTTTCATCCCCGTGTGGAGAGGGAAGTGCACACAATTATTAAAAACCTGCTACCTTGACGGGATGAGTTCAAATGAGCTAACAGGTGTTGGAGATGAGACAAGTTTGCTGTTGGTTGCCATGGACGTAAGTGTCCCATCTTTTTCCAGCCCAGCAGGCATGACTGGGAGGTTGAGCATCGACCTATGAACCAGGAGGTCACGGATAAATTCCTTGGTCAGGGAACATGCCCGGGTTGCAGTCTCCATCCTTATGGGTTGTGGGGCAGGAGGCAGCCAATCAGTGATTCTCGTCATTGATGTTCCCATTGCTCCACTGGCCTCATCTCCGGAGTCAAGGAAAGTGTATAAAAAGGAAAAGGAAGGAAAGGAGGCTTCCCCAGCTGTGCCGTGTCCCCCTGTGACACTCTGGCAGGTTCCCCTGCTGGTTGAATCAGCATAAAATCCACAACATAAATGAACCACTTAGAAGTCGTTGACATGAGAATCTCTAAGCCTGTGGAGGGTATTTGGGGGGGTGGCGAGACAATTCACAGCATTTTATTCATTAATCCATTCAATTCCATAATGTACCATCTTATTCCTGACACCATTAATACTACTGTCATTGATTCCCTAGGAGAGGACCATGGCTCTAAAAAATCTGAGTTGGATTTCTGTCGATTGACTCTGACAGATTTTACCATACCAAAAAGCAATCCCTAATCAGCTAAGATAAAGGTGGTATGGGTAAGGTGTTTCAGTGAAAAGGTGGGAGCACAGGTAGACCAACAAGCAAATTCAGTTCGTGGCTTAACCCAGATGGCAGGGAGAGAGCACCAACACAGCCAAGGCCTTCACGAAGGTAGCTAGAAGTACCCTGCCAAGTAGGTTAGTCTGCCGAACGGGAAAGAAACATCCCTTTCCTATTATCCACTCAAACCCAAGCAGAGAATATGAAATAATGAATAACTAGAGGGTCATGACTTTCCAGGAAACAGAAAGGTGGAGTAAGCACACCATCTCCCGATAAGAGTGAGGTGGATATCAGTGCAGGGAAAGGTGGGATACCTTCTTTAAGTTTGTTTTTGGTGTTTTGGTCTGTGAGCAATCAAGATGGAGAGGGAGGCTCCCCCAAAGGGGAACGTCTGCCGGAACCAGAGTAGCTGAGCCCGACCATCTGTGATGCCTTTGGACTTGCACATACCATGGCACACAAGGACTCTCCACGTGAATCAGCCAAAAGCCATACCCATTGCACAGAAGGGTGTGTTGATGCTCCACCGAGTACTGAGTGATGGGACCTAGGGGCCAAAGCTCTGATAAGGAATACTCTGAGGCCAGAAGACAACCCACGTGTAATAGCCAGAGGAGAGGGTGATGACCGTGAACCAGAAGAGACTGCCCCCTGGATGTAAGCTCATCGCCTGCCACCTTCCCCATCGCTGCAGCACATGCCCTGGAGAATATTTTTAAGAGTTTATTTGAGTCAAACTTGATAATTGGAAGGGCAAGCCCAGTGTTTCCTGTCCCCAAGATCGGTTGTCACCAAGGCCAAGTATGAAATCAGGGGCCAGAGATTTAAGCAAAAGTGTGGAGCATTTATTACAAGCAGATTCAGGCTCCCCACATGGGGAGGGGCCCACTAATGGGCTGCCCTTAAGGCCTGTGGTATCGGATGTTTTTGTGCCACCACCCAGCTCTGTGTCTACCCGTGTGCCCACCTGATGGGCTCCTCATTGTTCTTGCCCAGCAAGGGACCTGCACATCCCTGTTCCCTTGTGTGCACTCACCTTACTGTTGCAGGCCCTCCCTCGTTTCCCAGGCCTCCTGCTCTGAGTCCAGAAATGTTCTGTTATGTCTGCCTGGTTAGTCCCTGTGTGTAGGTTGCTCAGACTGCTGTGTCTGCCCCTGCCTACCATCCACCTGCCTTTGTGTCCCATGGACCCTGCCCTGTCTGCCTGCCTGTCCAGCTCAATCCTCTCAAAACCACCCCTTCTGGACATGTGTGCAGGGTACTCCAGGAACAGGAAGCTCATCTTCCTAAAACACAGTGTCTCCTTACAAACACCAGAGTCACTGCTCAGCCCAGGGCCCTCCTCCCACCTCTGCTGGCCTGGGATGGGCACTGGCCCCTCTGTTTTTTCTGTTGTTGGTAGTTTTCCAGGGCGGTTGCTCTTCATCTTTCTCATTCTCTGTTTGTTCAAAAGGAGTCACTGAGCAGAAGGGGCTGAAGCAAAATGGTGGCGTAGGCAGCTCCAAACTCTTGTTCCTCCACAAAAACATCAAAAAACAAACCAAAACTATCAGAACGGCATCTGCCAGGCTCTCAAAAACAGTCAGAGACCTGCAGCAACTGAGAAAACCCTGAGTCAAGTACATGCTACTTAGAGGGGGAAGGAGCCTGGCCGGTGTGGCTCAGGGGTTGAGTGTTGGCCCAGGAACCACCACGTTATGTGTTTGATTCTCATTCAGGTCACACACCTGGTTTGCAGGATTAATCCCCAATAGGAGACATGAAGGAGGCAGCTGATCAATGATTCTCTCTCATCATTGATGTTTCCATCTCCGTCTCCCTCTCCCTACCTCTCTGACATCAATAACAACATTTTTAAAAGATTAATGAAAACATCAAAGGTCACACAAAACACTGAAAAACCAGAGGATAAAGGAATGACAATTTTAAAGTGCTGAAGGAAAAATGAAAAAGCCATCACCTTAGAAATCTAAGCTGACTGAAAATATATTTCAAAAGGGAATGAAGCCTGGTCGATATGGCTCAGTGGTTGAGCTTCGACCTATGATTCCATTCCTGGTCCAGGCACATGCCTGAGTTGTGCGCTTTATACCCAATTGTGATCATGCAGGACACAACAGATCAATGATTCTCTCTCATCATTGAGGTTTCTATCTCTCCTTCTCCCTTCCTCTCTGAAATCTGTGAAATGTAGCCTATATTTTATAAGGCTAATATGCAAATAGTCCCCTCAACATGGAGTTTGACCGGGGTCAGGGCTGGCCAGCCAACCGCCCTACCCACTCCCCCCATATGGCCCACCCAGATCAGATGGGCCAGCCAGACCCCACCCATGCACGAATTCACACACTTGGCCTCTAGTATTGAAATAAATAAATGTAAAGGTTGTGGGTCTGGTTCCCAGTCTCAGCAGTTATGGGAGGCAACTGATAAATATTTTCTCTGCCATCAATATTTCTCTTTCTCTCTCCATCTCTGTTCAATATTTCTCTCTCCTTTCTTTTCCCTGTAAAAATCAATAAGCATGTCCTCAGGTGAGAATAAAGACAAGAAGATCCAGGCTGGCTCACGTGGCTCAGCTGTTGAACTTTGACCCTGGACCCAAGAAGTCACCGGTTTGATTCCTGGTGAGGACACATGAGTGAGATTGCAGTCTCCATCCCCAGAGGGGGCCATGATGTAGGCAGCCGATCGATGATGCTCTTTAAAGTATGTTTCTCTCTATCCCTCTCCCTTTCTCTCTCTCTCTCTATATATATCAAAAATATATATACATTTTAAAAATACCTGTATCTATGTCTATCTGTACATATATCTATATCTATATTTATATCTATATCATATGTATAATCTATATCTATGTCATCTATATCTATATCCATGGGAGCAGAGCCTCATTGAGTTTATCCCTAAAGAGTCACTGATTGTGCCCACATCCTACTCCCTGACCATCTCCTGCAGCACAGCCCCTGGTATGGAAGGAGAGGTCCCTGGGCACGGTGACCAGGACCCCAGGGAGGGCCTGGTTCTCTGAGGGACAGTCAGCACCTCCTTCTAGGAGAAGCCTCAGACACTTGGACCTTTCTCACTCCTTGCCCTTTGTATGTGCAGACAACCCCCTTATGCAAATGCCCACATGGCCACCACACACACACACAGTTGGCATCCACTTAAATGCAGGGCCTCCTCACCCTGGAGAATACTTTCTGGGGGACGAGAACCTCACCTGCAAGACATGACTCCCATGTGGCTCTTCCTCTTCCTGCTGTCAGTTCCCAGATGTGAGTGAATCAGGGCTTAGACGTGAGGAGATGGGGATCCTGCATCTGAGCCCAGGACTCACTGTGTTCTCTCTGTCCCAGGTGTCCTGTCCCAGGTGCAGCTGCAGGAGTCAGGCCCAGGACTGGTGAAGCCCTCACAGACCCTCTCCCTCACCTGCTCTGTCTCTGGTTATTCCATCACCAGTAATTACTATTGGAGCTGGATCCGCCAGCCACCAGGAAAAGGGCTGGAGTGGATTGGGTACATACACTATAATGGAGACTCTGACTACAGCCCCTCCCTCAAGAGCCCAACCTGCATCTCCAGAGACACGTCCAAGAACCAGTTCTCCCTGCACCTGAGCTCCGTGACCACCGAGGACACAGCCATGTATTACTGTGCAAGAGACACAGTGAGGGCAGGTCAGTGTGAGCCCAGACACTAACTTCCCTGCAGTAAGATGTCTGACTCTCAGGGGCACTCAGTGTCCCTGAACACAAGGACCATCCCAGCAGCAGGTGCAGTTGGAGGTCTGGGCTGGTTCCTGTGTGGTTTCCTCTTCATGTCACAGTTTCCCTCAGGGAACCTCTGGATCCTGATTCTTCCCTGACGTCTGAGTCTCTGAGTGAGAAAGTCTGTTGTGAAGAGAGACAACTTTCTCCTGTGAACAAAAGGCAGAGAGTCTCTTTCATACACACTTGGGCCATAATGAGTTTTATCATCAAATCTTCTGACCCACGTCACCTGAATCTAACAAGAGGCTCTAATGATTCAACAGTGCAGCTCCCCTGAATGCTGAACCGTGGGCCCCACATGTGTGTGAACCCAAAGCTGAAGAAGAAGGACCCACAGGGTGACAGTCCTGGTCTTGTCCTCATGCTCACAGCACCCAGAGGAGTGGGCACCATGCAGAAGCAGAGGCACAGCAGCTGGTACAGATGTTCATGACACACACACACCAAGGGGATGTGGGATGGTTATTATGCTCCTGATTGAAACCCCTGAGAAGCACAGGAAAGATCACTCAGCAAGTCAGACCTGCTTGGATGGAGACTGGAAAGGAGAGGGTGCAGGGCTTTTATTTTGGCGAGGTGGTGGGGGAGAGGGAGGAATTCTGCCTCCAGTGACTTGTGTGGTTTTAATCTCCCAATAACTTCTACAGAGAAAACTATGGCCTCCTCCCTAGCACCTGCGCACTGCTTTCCCTGTGGCTTCTGCAGTGTCAGGCCCAGGTGAGTTGCCCCATGAACCAAGGCCTCCCCAAGGCCCTGCTACCAGCTGGGCAGCCGCCAGAGCCTCTCAGCTGTTGTCCACTCTCAGTCTTCACGTTGCTATGGGTCAGAGCAGGACGAAGCACTTCAAGAGACCTCAGTTCTCCCTCCAGGGACTGTCAGACCCAGTTGGCAGCAGCACAGAAAGGGACTGAGCAAGAGGAGGCAGAGCTGCCGTAATGGGTTTCTCTCAGTGGATAGAGCTTTGGCCTGAAGACTGATGTGTCCCAGGTTCGATTTTGGTCAAGGGCATGTGCCTTGATTGCGGGCAAATCCCCAGTAGGGAATGTGCAGGAGGCGGCTGACAAATGTTTCTAGCTCTCTATCCTTCTCCCTTCCTCTCTGTAAAAAAAATCAATAAAATATATTTTTTTAAAAAAAGAGGAGGCGGAGCTGCAGGAAAAGCTCCAGCCCCCAGTGCCCAGATCCCCAGGCGCATGCTTGTGGCTGCGCCAGCTGGTGCAACAGCAGCTGGTGTTCTTGGACCCCGGGGACATTGTGGCCTGGACCCCTGCGCCCTCCCCCTCTGGCCTGCTGCTGGACGCCTGCCTGGCGGTGAGGGAGAGGAGGCGGCGCCTCAGGAGTCTCAGTGCTTTGGAGGCTTTGAGGTTTGCGAGGACATGGTGACTGCGGATCACATGACCCGGGTCGCACTGCTCCCAGAGGGCAGCGCTGGTGGGTTCAGACGCGGGGCCTCCATGGAGAAGAAAGAGCAGAACAGAAACCCTGTGAGAACGTCGCCTCGAGGCCGCACGCGCTGTGGAAGGTGTGTGAGTGCAGTGATGGGGCAGCGTCTGTGCTCAGCACAGAGGGCGTTTGGAGATGTTGGCACCGTGTTTGGGTGGGTTTCCCCCAGGGGACCTGGCTGCTGCAGGAGCATGTTGTCTGCGGTCGGTCCCTGGGGTCCCCAGAGCTACTGGAAGCGCTAGGGGCGCAGTATGGCATGGACTGGAGGCCGCACACTGTCCCCTGGGGGTCCCTGGAGAGTGTCCTGTGGGAGCCGCTGTGGGCGGCGCAGTGTGAAACCCAAAGGACATGGTTCTGTCCAAGAGCCGAGCAGGAATCATAAACGCCTCCCAAGGGCTCATCCGAAGTTTTGGAAACGGACTCGGGCGCAGGGGTCACTCAGACGCAGGAGGCCGAGATGGAAATGGAAACCGCCCTGGAGGCACAGGAAAGGCTGCAGAAGGCGAAGGGCGGGGTCTGACCACAGCGATGAGATGGAGGAGGCTCCTCCTGAGAGAAGGGTCAGGAGGAAAACATGTATCTGGGACAGACTTCAGCCCGCTCCCCAGGAGCCCCAGAGGCCCAGCGCTGCTGAGGGCGCAGCAGACCCGCTGCACGTCCTCTCCCCGAACCCCGCTGGGGCCTTCGGACCTCGGGCTAGAACGGGGAAACGGGGGTGGATGGGGGAGGATGCGGCCCCTTTCCCAGGGGGGCAGAGGGCCGGATCCCTCCCCATTCCCCCCCCTCTACACAGCCCCGGAAACCGCAGTCAACCAGCACTCCTCAAAACGGGCTGCCGCCAGAGATGGTTGCATAGTGGCTGCGGTGGACCAGATGTCCAGGCACGGACTTGGTCTTGGTCAGGGGTCCGAGAGAGAGAGCCGGGGGTGGGGGTCGACAAGATATCCTGGCCTGGAATTGGTCTGGGGCAGCGGTCTGAGAGAGATGGGGAAGGGTGTAGACCAGATGGCCCAGCCTGGACTTGGTCTCGGGCTGGAAAGTGGAATCACTGTGTCAAATAGGAGTTCCATTATTAATTTTTAGGTGGAAACTCTATACTAGTTTCCATAATGGCTGAACCAGTTTACCTTGCTAATGGACCAAATAAACTGATGAACAAAAATAGACCCAGAGACATAGAAGCATGAAGAGACCATGGAACCTCAGTGGGAAGGCAGGGGAGGGTCTGT